AATCAGATACGATTATATATAGGGGGTGCTTATTTTCGGATATTACATAAAATTTGATGGTGCTTAATTTCGGGGGGGTGCTTAATTTCGGAACTATACGGTAAATTCTCGTCCGGGTATGGCCGATACTTTATCCGAACAACCAATCAAAATAAACTTCCGCTATGCTGGTTGTCACATGTTAGCATTAAATAACCAATCCTAATGTATTATTGATCAACCAATCACAAGAAAGTTAGCTTATCGCTATTAGCTACAGGCGCGTTTCTAAGTTTCTAATCATGTAATTTAGTTAAAATGTCTTTACAAAAAGAGATATTTAAAAAAGGTAATAGAAGCGCTGCGTTATTTGAACCAAGGTTAATCGAAGAACGGGAGGATGTAGACGATTCGATGAAGGTAATAGAAGAAGAAACTGAGAAGAGCAATATCAGAAGCCTTCCCACCGTGTAGGTTCTTGGATACTTTTGATAGGTTTAACAAACAAATAGTTTGTAAAGTTTTATTATTATTGAAATATGTGGGTGAAATTACATATTAGAAAGAAATATACGCCTGTTCCTTGGGAAACCTGTTTTGATAGCTGTAGAGATATAAAAATACCAGATTCTGAAAATATATCCTTTTTTTTTACGTTTCACTTGTTACCCTAATAAAATTTTAAAAGGATGTTAACATTTATGGAAATTATGAAATTCTTGACCAAGCACCCTATGCGAATTGATTTACATATTCAGAGCTTATGACATACAAGGCAAAGCGGCAAATAATAGCAGTCCATTATTTCTGCTCCATCATGGTGCTGGATACTCTAGTTTATCTTTCGCCTTAGCCGCTTTACATATTAAAAATTTAACAAATGGTGAATTTACTATGTTTGCATATGACTGTAGAGGTCATGGTACGTCATTTAAGTTGTAAACCAATTTTTCAAATTTCTATGATGGATAAAATAGATATATCCGATTAATATAGGGAAAACGAAAACATCCGATGATCTCAATTTATCATTGGAGCAATTAAGTCAAGATTTAGTCGACGTTTTGAAAGCAGCTTTTGGGAATGATGTTATAACAAATCGAGAAATTTTCTTGGTGGGACATAGGTAATAATTAGGTTTAGTGTTATTAAAATGTTATTAAATTAGATAAATTTTATAATCTTTTTTTTTTAACATTTTTTAGTATGGGAGGTTGTGTGGTGGCAGATGCAATGTCTAGACAATTAATACCTTCTGTGACTTGTATGGCGGTGATTGATGTTGTTGAAGGTTTGTTTATTTATAATCATCTTATAGAGAATGTGTTTAATTTTCCATTAAAATCTTTTGCTATTCAGGATCTGCAATGGAAGCACTTTCGGGTATGTTAAACTTTTGTAGGAATAGACCGAGTGAATTCAAAACTGTTGAGGATGCGATTTTATGGAGGTAATAAGTTTGATTAAACTGTTTAAACAGACTTCAAAAATCTTTGTATAAAACTTTTCACCCTTATCACCTGGTTTAGCAAAAAATCAGGTGCAATTCGTAATATTGAATCGGCCAGAATTTCCATACCTTGCTTATTAACCGAACAAGAAACCTGTACAAATATTAAAAAATATACTTGGAGGACTGATTTGGCTGCGACGCAACCCCATTGGAGAGGTTTGTTCTCACATAAATTACATGATGTTTTAATGAACATTGTATGTTTAGTTGCTTTTTTACAGGGTGGTTTTCTGGATTATCCGAAAAATTTCTATCCTCCAATGCTGCAAAACTACTTATTCTCGCTGGTATTTTAAGCCTAAATTTTATTAATAAATTTTTAAATAAATAATAATTATTTGTAAATAATTTAGGTACCGATCGATTAGACAAACCACTAACAATTGCACAAATGCAAGGTATTGATTTACTCGTATTGCCGTGTTATATATATTTGCTAAGCATACATTTTTCTAATGTAGGAAAATATCAGCTCATGTTGTTACCTGAGGCAGGACATATGGTACAAGAGGATATACCAGAGAGAACTGCCTCAGCTTTAGTAGACTTCTGGAAGAGGAATGAAAAATTAGTATTACCAGTAAAGAAGCCTTTTGTAATTGATAAATAAGATGAATTTTTTTTAAAATGCAAAATTTTAAGTTTGAGGTATTATATTAGGCAATTTCTATTTGTACTGTACACTAGTGTATGAAACATTACTCAATTTTGCTTATGAAACCACTTTTCGAGTTCTAACAAAAAAAAATCTACATAAAATTTTAGTATAAACTACCTCTAACCCTAACCTATCTTCGATTTTTTTATAAATTATACCCGTTGGTGTGAATTAATAAATATTTTCAATATGTTATTTATTTTTTTTTATAATATATTATCGCGTGAAAAAATTTTTTTTCGAGTATACCCGTATACTGTATACCGGATTACCTTAGCACCTTGATTGAAGATCGATGCTTGGTTTACTTATGGTTTCAAACAATAAGTACGTATGTATGTAATCAAACTCGATCTTAAATCAACGTGCTAAGGTAAACAGATATACAGTATACGGGTATATTCGAAAAAAAATTTTTTTCCCATTTTCAACCATTTCGAAAAACGCGATAAGTGGTTGCTAAGATCTTTGATCAAAGTTTCGTTAAATTTTTGATGCAACTTCTATTTTAGGCCATGCAAACAAATAGGGTAACTTTTTTAGAAAAAGTAAAAATTTATATTCTCTTGTATGAAAAAAAAAATTTATAAATCTTTTTTATATGAAAGAATTTTTTAAATATAACATTTTTTGCCGGCCGCCTGGGTCCTATTTGCTTGTCCCATGTAACGAGAAACAACTAATTTAATTTGCATTGCCTTAATAGACGTTTTTAAAATTCTCTAAAACTTAGATTAAAAATATCCCAGCACCTACTTGGTTAAATTTAATAAAAAACTACAGGTATGTAGCAGTCAAATAAATAATTTTTATTAAATTTGTTGCCAAGATATTTTTATTTAAAGTCTTAAAACTTGTAAGAAAAGTTACTTTTTTTATTATTAAAATCACGTTTTTATATCGATTATATACACTCATAATTTAGGTTAAACCGGCATTGTTATAGGGATCTTAAAGATAATACAAAAATAATACTATATGGAATTATCTTCAAGCTCTTATTTTTAACGTAAATTATGGATGTCCCCTCACCAAAAAATACTAGATAAATTGGGTGAATGTATGGAAGGTTGACTGTATTATTGATAATTGTAAAAAACCTTCGACTATCTAGAGAAGTATACAAGCAGTGTTGGAAATCTGTTTTAAGATTTATGTTCTCATGAGAACAAATTTATTTAATTTAATGTTCTCGGAAATTTATTTATGTTCTCAACAATAAAATTTATTTATATCTATTTATATCCCTATTTTTTAAATTTCTTATTTCGGAAAATATCGGTCATTTACAGGATATCAAATGTTCTCAAATCTAAAGGAATGTTCTCATGAGAACATAAGATTTCCAACACTGTATACAAGTACACAAATATACATTGTGCTCGATAATAAATGCATGTATTCTTATTAATCTGTTCACTAATCGTCCAACGCTAACACCTCAATTGAATTTTAACCTGATGGGAGATTCAGAATTAATAACTTCATACAATGATATTATTTTACCGACTGCATGGGATATTGAAGATAAACCACCATTTATTGACATAGATTCAAGTGGGCTTAAAGTGAATTATACAGGTAAGATGAAAACGGGAAAATCTCACAAAAACATATTTTTAATCGTTGGTAATTTAAAGAATGTCATAATAATTTTTTAATTTATTAAAAAATTAAAGGTCCTGATGATTTTAATGCTGCTATCGTTCGAGCAAATCATCCAATCCCTTCAGAGTGTGGGATATTTTATTTTGAAATTGAAATTATAAACAAAGGAAAAAATGGGTAATAATAATAATTATTTCGTAACATAAACATTACTTATGTTCTTGCGATTTTTTTATAATCTTTTTAATTCTATTTTCTTAATAGGATAATTGGAATCGGATATTGCACAAAACGCGATAAAAAAGTAGATAATTTAGATTATATAAATAATATGCTCATGCCTGGTAATACGGTAGCAAAGTTTTATTTTATTTTCTTATTATTACAGATTAACATCTATATAATATTCTTTAGGTCAGGAATATAAGAAAAATAAGAAAAATATGGAAAATAAAGAAAGCGAGGAAAATGAATTATGGGGCTGTAGTTACCATAGTGACGATGGATATTCTTTTTGCTCAGGAAGTGTTGAGCCATATGGGTCATCATATACTACTGGCGATATAGTTGGATGCTATCTAAACTTTAAAAATAAGATAATTTTTTATACTAAAAATGGAATTAACTTAGGTAACCAACATTTTAGAAACTGAAGTTTATATTTTTTAAAGTAAATAAAAATTCAATAATTATAAAATATTTTAAGGAATTGTGTGCCATCTACTTAACGGTTTGGAAGGCAATCTATACCCTTGTGTTGGATTTAAATCGCAAAGCGGATTAATAGAAGTGAACTTTGGCAATAAAAGATTTAAATATTCCGGTAAATTTATTCAGAGTTTAATCGTGTTTGGCTTGTTTAGAATTTAATTTTAACTATTTATATTTCAATTGATAGCAATAACTAATGAAGACATTAATAAAAAATCAAATAATGCATTAACATTGAGATATAAAGAAAAGCTTTATTTTATTATGGGTGGATATGAAAACATGCTTGTTAATTTAACCGATGAACTAACAAAATCACTAGAAAAAAATCCAAGTAATGTATTTAAATTACTCTACCGAGGCATTATGGGCAAATATGATAAAATATTTAAATTATTGTGCCGAGGAAAAATATTTTTTATTATGGGCAAATATGATAAAGTATTTGAAGATTTAACTAGATTGCTAGAAATTGAACCAGCTAATACAATAGCATTAAGATATCGAGGAGAAATTAATTATATGATGAAAAAATATTCCGAGTCAATTGCTGACCTGAAGAAATTATTAGAAATTAAACCAAATGACATGTGGGCAAAGAAAGTTTATGAATTAGTTAAGGAGTTGTAAGTATAATATGCATTTACAATTCTACCACAGAATCCCGATATCCAAAATCCCGACACTCAAAATCCCGAAATTACCAAAATCCCGTCAACCCGACAGATTTTAACCTGACGGGGTTTTGGTACCGTCGGGATTTTGATTTTCGGGATTTTGAGTGTCGGGATTTTGTAGTAGATCCAATTTTAGCAGCTTAACAATTTAGAAAATAATTTGACCATTATTTATGTAACCATAGCTCGTAAGTACAGTAACCGCAGCAAATCACACGACAAGTCCATTACAAAAACTAACATAACCCTGTATGTAACCATAGCTCGTAAGTACATAACGAACTTTCTATAGCAAATCACTATACAAATCACGATAAGTCTATAACAAAATTAGCATAACCTTATCTAAATCACTTACGTAATCACAATAGTTGGTAAGTACAGTAACCGCTTTTCTTTACAGCAAATCACGATGAGTCCTTACAACATAACCCAATATACATCACTTATGTATCCAATAGTTAGTAAGTATAGTAACTGAACTTTTTACAGCAAATCACTATACAAATTACGATAAGTCCATTACAAAACTGACATAACCCTATCTATATCACGCAACCACTAATAGTTCGTAAGTAGAACTTTTTATAGCAAATCACTAAATAAATCAAAACGATACGCCCATTATACGTAAAACTTTAACATAAACCTATTTAAATCATTTATGTAACCACAATAGTTAGTAAGTATAATATCCGAACTTTTTATATACAATTCACGATAAGTCCATTATAAAACTAACATACCCATACCCCATCTATATTATTTACGCAATCATCATAGCGAGTAAGTACCGAACAGCAAATCACTATACAAATCACGATAAGTCTACTACAAACCTAACATAATCCCATCTAAATTACAATAGTCTGTAAGTATAGTAACGGAATACAAATCACGATAAATTCATTACTAACACACAGTAACTCCATCTAAATCGCCTATGTCATCATAGCTCGTAAGTACAGTAACCGAACTTTTTACAACAAATCATTATAAAATCACGATTAGCCCCGCTACAAAACTAACATAATCTTATCTAAATCACTTACGCAACCACAATAGTCTGTAAGTAGAGTAACCGAATACAAATCACGATAAATCCATTACTAACATACAGTAACTATCTAAATCACCTGTCACCATAGCTCGTAAGTACAGTAACCGAACTTTTTACGGCAAATCACTATACAAATCACGATAAGTCCATTACAAAACTAACATAACTCCATATAAATCATTACACAACCACCATATAGCAAGTAAGTACAGTAACCGAACTTTTTATGGCATATCAACATTAAAAGCTAACATAATCCTATTTAAATCACTTACGCAACCACCATAGCTCGTAAGTACAACTTTTAAACAAATCACGATATGTCTATTTCAAAATTAACATAACTCTATCTAAATCACTTACGCAATCACCATAGCTCGTAAGTACTTTTTTTACAGCAAATCACTACACAAATCACTACACAAATCACGATAAGTCCATTACAAAACTAACATAATCCTATCTAAATCACTCATGCAACCAACATAGCGAGTAAGTACAGCAACCGAAACTTTTACAGCAAATCACTACACAAATCGCGATTAAGTCCATTACAAAACTAACATAACCCTATCTAATCACTTACGCAACCACCATAGCTCGTAAGTACAGTAATCGAATTTTTTACAGCAAATCACTATACAAATCACGATAAGTCCATTTCAAAACTAACATAACCTTATCTAAATCACTTATGCGACCACAATAGTTAGTAAGTAGAGTAACAGAACTTTTTACAGCAAATCACTATACAAATCACGATAAGTCCATTACAAAACTAATATCCCTATCTAGTTAGTAAGTACATTAGCTCGAACTTTTTACAGTTTAAATCACTATATAAATCACGATAAGTCCATTACAAAATTAACATAATCCTATTAAATCACTTACGCAACCACAATAGTTAGTAAGTACACTAACCGAACTTTTTATAGCAAATCTCTATTCAAATCACAATAAGTCCATAAAAACTAACATAACCCTACCTAAATCACACAATAGCGAGTAAGTACAGTAACCGAACTTTTATAGCGAATTATTATATAAATCATAATAAGTCCATTACAAAACTAAATCACTTACGCAACCACCATAGCGAGTAAGTGTAGCAAATCATTATACTGGCAAATGATCTAATCACATTATCATATACAAAACGTCATAGGTCATTTCAAAAAATTTAAATTTGCCAACATAGCTATACAAATCATGATAAGCTCATTACAAAACTAACATATCCCTATCTAAATCACTTACACAAACAATAGTCTGTAAGTACAGTAACCGATCTTTTTACAGTAATCACTATACAAATGATAACCCTAAATCACGCAACCACAATAGTCGGTGAGTACAGTAACCGAACTTTTTGCAGAAAATCACTTTATAAATCATGATAAGTCTATCGCAAAAACTAACATAACACTATCAAAATCACTTACGCAACCACAATAGTTAGTAAGTATAGTAACCGAACTTTTTACAGCTTAAATCACTATACAAATCACGATAAATCCATAACCCTATCTAAATCACCTACGCAACCATAATAGCTAGTAAGTACGCCAACGAACTTTTTACAGCAAATCGCTATACGAATCACAATAAATCCATACAAAACTAAAATATTCCTATCTAAATCACTTACGCAACCACAATAGCAAGTAAGTACAGTAACCGATCTTTACAGCAGATCACCATACAAATCATGAAAAGCCTATTACAAAACTAACATAATCCTAAACCACTTATGCAATCATCATAGCGAGTAAGTACATTAACCAAACTTTTTACAGCAAATCACTATACACATTGTTGGCTAATGACCTTGAAGTGACCTCAAACAACCTAATCACATATTAGTTACTATGAAATCCATCACGTGATATTATATGCCTAGGTCATTTCAAAAGCGAAATGACCTTAAAATTTGTCAACAATGCTATACCATACAGCACTGCATATAGTACCTCTTAAAGAAGTATCCCCTTTAAATAGTATCAGATACTATTCAATTGTAAATTCCAACATTTTTAAAAGTATCCCGGTATTAAT